TCTCGTAAACGTTCTTCTCCCTTATGTGTCGATACAGATGCACAACGAATGATTTCACCGAGTCGGGCACAAAGTTCGGGTCGTAACCAAGCTCCTGCCCCGGTCCCCTCCGAGACTCCTCGTAGTTTACCGGTACCTCATCGTAGTCGTAATTCCCCGCCATGGCTTTGCTCTCCTCCTCTCTCACTATCCCGATAGGCTAAGATGGTCAAAGTTTTGAGATGCAGTGTTTTGCTACTTGAATTAAAGGGACCGGAGTGATCGAGATTAGGGGGTTTGAGGGAAGGAGACGAGTTGAGGAGGGGACAGTGTAAGAGGAAGGATAGAAACTGAACTAGGGTTTGCAGAAGCAAGAAAGAAACGGTGCGAGGGCTGGGGGCTCTCTATTTGAGTTTGGGTCCTAAACGTCACAAAAGCCCAATTCAGTACTATTTTATTAAAAAATAATATTTTATTTTATTTTTTTCTATTCTCAAATAAATTTGGATGTTTTATTATTTTTGCTATTTTCATGTAAATATTTATGTCGGAATTCATTTACAATATAAATATATGAAACCATGCAATAAAAAATATAATCATGATAATGAGACATATCCTCTTAAAATATAGTTTAGATCCTCGCCAACAATGTTGACTTTGTGGACACGGTAGGAACAATACATATTTATTGAACTTGAAAAATTCAAGAACAAAAAAAATGTATTATTCAAATTCCAATAACAATTGAGACGAATAAATTTGTTAAAATAATGGATTCAATCTTTTTAAGTTACTCAGAATAAAATGTGATAGTTTTATACCATATTTTGGGTAAAAATATATTTAGAAGAATTAAGGTAGGTGTTCTTATAGAATAAAACACATAAAAATACCAATATGTACTATGCATTATATCATAGTAACTTTGCTATTTGACAAATCTTGTTATTATATTAAGCAATAAATTAACAATGTATTTACCCAGTAATGATGTCAGGCTCCCTACAGGAATACATACATATATATATATATATATATAGAGAGAGAGAGAGAGAGAGAGATTTTCTTAACTAAAATTTTTTATCATCCTCTCCGTTTAAGTTGTTTATTTTGTGAAGTACGTAATCCTGTGTTCTTTATTTTTCTACTACCCAGTGTTTATTTTACATCTGCACAACACCAAAAGAAAATGTAAACAGTGATGCAAACCGTAGCTAGCACTGAGTACATAGTCTTCTATTAAATTTCTAACTAAATGAATGTTTCAACGTTTTTATGTTAAAAAAGAGTAGTATTTTGTTTTTTAATCTCCCAAGCAAACTTGCACACTTCTCAATTACCTCTTGCACAAGGTACCTGTTGCTTGGGTTCAAGCCCTTCAGTAAGGATCAACACAAACATAATAGCAAACTGGTACAGTTAGATCCCCTCAGTTCAATCAAGGATAGTTATATCAGATTTTGCATCAATTAATTTTCACAAGGCAACAGCTCCTAGAGACACCAAATGCTTCTCTCTCTTCATTTTGTGCGTACACCACAAGTGACAATCTAGTTAATTATTCACAAGCTATCAAGACCCTGAAAGACAGACAGACACTGCAGGCAGCACAATCAACAAGCACTGTCTCTATCTCTGTCATTTAGCAGTCCTTCATGTTATATTTGAACTGCCACTATGCTGGGCTCTAGTGATCCAAAATTGAGTGCATTCACTGCCAAGATTGGAATCGTGTATATAACTATCAAAGCATATCAACCTGGGTTCTTCATGGAAGCAGTCATGTCCTCTGCCTGTTAGAAAGAGTGGGAGTTAGTTGAGGCACTTCCTGATAACTTTCAGGTTCATCCTCTTCATCTGATGACAGAAGGGATGAGCCCATCCATGCTTTAAATCCTTCGTTCACGCGCCTTTCCATATCTGGTGTGATTTCCTTAGGTAATGCCTCTAACATTTCCAAACCATAACTCCGACCCCCATGTTCTCCCTCATCAAGAATTATAGCTGCTTTTCTTCTGAGGAAAAAGGCAGTTCCCGCATATAGAATCACCAGTCCCCAAGAAGAAATCTCATAGCACCAAAACAGGGCCACAGAGCAGCTGCTCCCCAGAGTCAAAAGGCTGGAACCAAGGAACAAGGCAAGAAGACCGAAGATGACAGCAAAAACAACATTTAGAATGGATAGACAACGAACCCCACCTGCATGTTAGAACACTAAGTTAGAATATATGTGTATGTATGCGTTCTTAAATGTGTGTTTGTTTTGTGTGCTTTTTATGTGCGTGTATGTTGTGTGTATGCGCATCAGGTTGAATACTAGTTAATTGAACATGAAAATGAAAATGAATATGGGTGCTACACTTCACCCTAAGGCAAGGGTTGACTTTGCAAGTTATGTGGTTCTCTTTTATAAAGAGACCTAACTTAACTCACAAGAGAAGTGAGATGACTAAAACTAGGCCAGATTTAGCAAACAAGTTCTTAAGCCAATCGATATGGATGATCCTCGTTAGCTTAGTTTCCTTAAATAAATTACAAATTGCATTTCTGTAAATTCTGGTTTTTGTTGTAATTGTATGACTTTATGATTTATTTATTGTTCAAAAGATTCGAAGTGTAATTAGATTTTAGATTTAATAAAGTCAATGGGCCTGGATTCTGCAACAAAATAGTTTCCTTTCACTAGATTTACTATGAGAAACTCACAGCAAGAAGAGGATTAAGTAGGAGAGAAGTGTTTCCTACTGTTTGTTTGTTTATTGTATGTGGTTTGATGTGTGCTGTCTTATTTTACTGCCACTTGCCCATTGGCAGTTGGGTTTGTTTTAATGCTATTGTTCCATGACAGGTGTTATGTTTTGAATTTACCAGATCCTGCTACTCTTTAGAATCGATTCAGAGTTTGGTGAGAGTAAATTGTCTTAGTCTCTTGCAACTGTAACAATGTCGTCAATGAATAATATTTTCATAAAGTTTTATTCTTTCAACCTCTTGGAGGTCATTGGAATCTCTTTAATGAGCCAATAACAATTGATTGTAAAATAGGTAGCAAACGGAGATCAAGTTAGTCCTCTCTAGTAACTGATTTATCAGTAACAGACCCCTAACAAGATCCAAATTAGGGACCTTAACTTATAATTTCTTTCAAGACAATATAATGATAGAAGAGGATTTATAGCAGCTATACTTTTTTAAAAGAAAAATATCACTATTCACAAGCACTATGGAGGTGCAAGTTGTATACAATTTACATGTCAAGCAAAATATCTACAGTCTCCAGGATCCTCACAAGACTAAAAAGGATTACCCTCTTTTTCAAATAAAAACAGTACGTTATGATTCATTCACACGCACTAAAGAGGTGCAAACCCATGTACAAAGATATTTACATATCAATCAAAATATCTATAAGGTTTCCAAAATCCTCAAACGAATAGATACATGAACTATAATTAAAAGACATAGAGTTTGAAACCATCAATCTTTTACCCTATCAAAATCATATTCCATGCCTTCAAAAGCTATCTTGTTTCTTTCTTTTGGCACCGCCCAAAAGGTAGCAAGGGGAATGAGACTAACATACTTCTTTACTTCACTGATGCCCTTCAATACTCAAATTTCTTCCCTCACCAAACCAGTTATCACTCAATTGATATCCAAGAGTCTACAAGCAAGGATCCAAAATTTCTATACAGAAGGACATCAAAAGGACATGATTACACGACTCTACCTTTCTTTTGCATAAGTACCCATTCACTAAAATCCTCCTCCTCCTGATCAGTCTGTCAAGAGTTAGAATACAACCTCTACCAGCCTCCAAAGTAAAAGAAAAGTCATTCCAAGTGGAGCATTAACCTTCCAGATTCACCGAAAGGGAAAGTTGGTACCATGGCTTCTCCTTTAATCAAATAATTTAAAAAGATCTGACCAAAAAAGTCCCTGTAGCATTGAGTCTCCAAACTGGTTGATCTCTACTCCCATTAATTCTAACTCTAATAAGGCCCAGGAGAAGAGTCTCATATTCTCTAATTTCCCAATCATTGAGATTTCTCAAAACCTCTATATTCCATTCTCCTTCCCCTCCATTGCCACTGTAAGACTCATAAATTGAGATACTCTTGTGCCAAGTAATAGCATAGATCCATGTGAACTTTTCTCTAAGTATCCCACCCTTCAACCAGGCATCATGCATAAGTTGATCCTATCCCCAGTGTCATAATAGCAACTGATGCAATCCTAGAAGTTACTCTTGCCCATGCATATTTTTTTCTCAACCCCTTCCCATGGGGTCTAGAAACCATAGTCCCAATCTTCGTCTCAATCACCCTCTACAAGATACTACCATTTTCATTCATAAATCTCCAAAGTCATTTTCTCCAGAAGAGCAATATTAATCTCCACCAAATATCTCAGACCCAAACAACCTTGATGCACGGGCTTTTTAACCTCAACCACGACCACAAGATGATACTTTCTTCTATTTTCCATGTCTCCCCATGGGAATCTACATTGAACTATTTTCACTCTCTTGGCCACAGTCTCAAGACTATCAATAGGAACATATAATAAATGACATATTGATCATTGTGCTCTTAACAAGTGCGAGTATTCACTCTTTAGATAAAAAGTTTCTGTTCCATTTGATCAACCTCTTCTCAAACCTCTTTACCACAAGATCTCAAGCTGCTGCATCTTTATATTTATCCCCTAAAACCCCAGATGTTTGATCCATAGTTCCACACTCCTACACCCCAAAATCCTAGCCAACCTAATAGGATCCCTCCCATCAACCAATATCACCAATTCAAAGCCAAAAAACACTTGGAAACTCAGCAAAATGCATCTACAATTATGTAGGATGTCTCATCCGGTTCATAGAATACTAAAGTATCATCAATAAAGAATAAATGACTCACCTCCTCTCTATGGTCACCATCTCGCACCTTTAATCCCTTAAACATCTCAAGCTTTTTTGACCTTAACAACATTTTGTTGAGAGCTTCCATAACAACTATAAATAGTAAAAAGGGTAAGGGATTACCGTGCCTATGACCTCTGGAGACTCTAAAGAACATGATGGACCCTCACTAACCATAACCACAAAAGAAGATATAGAGATTTATTTCAAAAAAAAAAAACAAAACAAAAGAAGATATAGAGATGCATGAATTGATCCATTTGTTTCACCTAATGAGGGATCCATATATGTTTAGTAGAAGGATGAACCAAGGCAACAGCTTGTCAATTGATTGATTTTGTCTTGCCTGCAGGGTTCATACTTGTTTCTATTTGTGTGCCTATGCCTTTTTGTTGCTAATGAGGATGAACAATTCAGCAAAATCTTCTATACTGTTTCTATGTTGTCTTTTTTAACCCTTTGACAATTCAAGCTCGCTAATTTTAATTCTTCATGCTTAAGGGATTCTAAGTGTGATAACTACTTACTTCTCCACAGAAGAACCCACAAAACTCCAAATTCTTAGGAGAGGTATCAATGAAATCCTACCTTTACTGCCTATTCTTTGACCCTAATCTTCAAATAGGCAAACTATCCCTAATTTGTCCTGAATCACTAATTTTCCATATCTGGAAAAACCCAATAACCCCTTCAAAACTAAACATAGAAAAGCTTCTTTCATGAACATTTGGTCATTTCCTAACACCTCAGCAAGTCGAAAGGTGACAATTCCAGCAAGAAGCATTATCTCAGATTCAACAATGTTAACATTGACACTCTTGCAATTGAGCTTGTGGGATGTAAGACAAGACAGAGGTGATATAGTAGATCTCAGACTCACACATATAACCATCACTTTGGATTATCAATATAAACCATAACAATAGTGTTTGACAAGGTCTTGTGTAATGCTGATAGCAACTGACAGTTCAAACCCAAATATGGAAAAGGTGAAGTTTAGAATAAGAGCAAACCTCTTTTTGACGCACAGTAATTATTTTCCACCACCTTTAAACATCCATGTCTAGTAGGAGCAGTATAAGCAACAGTAATTCCTGCATTAGGAACAGAAATAATGAGGCAATCAAACAAACATAAAGAAAAAACACAGAAGACTACATACAATATGTGCTATAATAATTCCATTGAGTAGGATGCGCTTCATCAAAGACCTAATAAAAGATGAGAATCAAAGGAAGCAACATCAGTAGAAAAATTAATCTAAGAAAGAAATAAGTACTTTTAGACTCATAAACGAAAGGGTTAATTCAACATAACATATACACATGGTAGAACTGCACTTGCTTATGTACCTCTAATGCCATCAACAATTCAACATCATCCCTGACAGATCAACTTCAGAGATATACTTGCTACAAGTTCAACTACTATAAGATCTTTGGCACAACTGAGCTGAAAGCCAAGCATTTTATTGCACTATCAATTTAAAGATAATCTTGTGTTCTTGGTTTCTAGAAGTGGCATGCCTGGTGTTCTTTTTGTTAATCTTAAGCTAATAAAAATCCTAACCCTGTTACCACAATATATTCCTTCAGGACGAAAATATCACTAAGTACCACTCTAGACTTACAAATAGTAATTCTCAAACAAGATCAAGAACAATGATAAATACAGATATCCATTTCCATTTCAGCTATCTTTACAAAAAGCTTAAAGATAACAAACTTCCAGTGCATTGACTGTGAACTTCAGCTACCAGTCCCTAGGGGGAAAAAGTTCATTTGCATATTCCAAGGAGAGATCAATCAACTTTAAGCCAAATAAAACACGACATAAGATCCAAGATTCTCATTTGCCACTTGACTACTTTCTACTCAACCATACAATAAGAGATTAACTCGCTGAAGAAAAAGGTAAAGACGAAAGAATCCTCACCTGCTAAAAGATAAGGAAGTGATGCGAAGAAGATAATCATAGATGGGACAAACACAACCATCCAGTAGTAATCGACCGTTTCTTGATCCGTCAAATAAAATGCCCCCGGAAACAGATCTGAATCGCCTCCTTTAGCGTTAATCGGCAGTGGTCGCATCCTCCTATCACTGCAAAATGGCCTCTTCAAACTATCGCTAGGAAACACGATTTTCAAGCTCACAATCGTACACACAATAATCACAAGGCAAATGATAGACATAATCCCCAACACGACCGGTCTTTGCAGCTTAACCCAAGCTTTATCTTCCTCTCGCAGGCTCTCATATTCGTGCTTGGGCATAAACGCTTGCCGCAGTGCGTCACCGATTATCGCCATTGAAACCCTAGCCTTCAACAAGAATTCAAGTCCAGCGTTCTTTTTCCTACTTACTTTCGTTCTCTTTTCACTTTTCTCCGAAAAAGTAGGTAGGCCTCATCTTCTACACTGGTTTTATGGTATCGGATTCAAGAAATTGTAAAATCGAAACATTGGATTTTTTTTTCAACAAATCAGTACCTCTTCTTGATTAAAAACGACCTCTAACTTGAAACCCAATTAATTGGATAAGTCACAGATCTAAGGTTTCCAATCTGATCAATCTTCGCTTGGAAGTTGGAGAACTAAGAGAACTCGGAACTTTTGGATTTAATGACAAACGGAGGAGGAGGAGGAACAGATCTGCAATTAGGTATCAGTTTTGGGTTTAGTGCAGTGCAGACCATTTCACGTATAGACGATGAAATTTGGCGGGTTTTCCTTCCCAACTGCCATGTGAAAATAATTTATAAGCAATTAAATGAATATAATACTAAATATTTCATGCTGAACTTGTTTTCTTCCCTCTCACAACAATTTGGTAAATAAAGAATTGACTTATATTTCCTAAAAATTTTAAATTTATGGAATTTTAAGTTTTATGTGGCTTTGAATTTAATATAATTTTCAATTTAATTTTTATTGTATAATTATTTTTCTTTAATTTTAAGGTATAAATTATCCTATTATTTTATTAAAATTATACGTTTCATCTTATAATTAATTTTTCATGCTAATTAACCATAATCAATCTCAAACTATCTTTAAAAAATATTTTAAAATATTTTAATTAATTTATATCTTTAAAAAAATACTATATTAAAAAAGACTATTAATATATTTATTAAAAAAATTTACGATAATATAAGTGTAAATTACCAATAAGTGGTAATCATCGAATCATAAACAAATTCATATTGATGAAAACTATGGTAAGAGTTATCAAAAATTCATATATACCAAGTGGTCAATAGTGCATATATTTGCTTTGTCTTTTCTTTATCTCATTGAATATCTTTGTTTAAATATCATAAAAAAGCATTATCAAATGAGAATTGGGAAAAAAAGAAAGATAACAATAATAAGATTTAAAATAATATAAATTTTTTTTATAAGATTAAGCTCATAAATATACAATCAATAATGAATAAGAGACATAATATTTATACCTTATAAAGCATCATTAGATTAGGAGTATAACGTTCATGGTTTGTTTTCAGATTAATTTCGTTATTTGAATAAAACTTATATTTGAAGATCAAATTATTTATTACGAAGGATTTACAATGAGACTTCTTTACATATTTTCATTATTTATAAAACTCATTTGAATATCTAATTGTACATAATGAAAATTTTATATTTTTTTACTACATAGATGAGAAGTATAAAATAAAACTTAATAAGATAAAAAAAGAGTTTTCAATATTTAACTCAATGAATATTTGATTATCAAAAATTTTGCTCACAAGCATTCTTCCAAAATAAATACCTTTTCAAACTTTAATATACATAAGAGAAAGAAAACTTTTATGTTAAATCTTAGAAGGAGAAAAATATATTTTACTAATGATTGAATCAAAATTTAGCTGTAGAGTATCATAAAGTTTGTCCAACAAATAAATAAATGATAGTATGTAAAAACTCAACGAAATTTTTAAATAAAGTTTGTCCAACAAATAAATATATGAACAGTATCTAAAAGCTCAAAAAAAAAATTAAATATTATCTCAATAATCCATCATTTAAGAGTAGATAGTAAGATAAAGCACAAAGAGATTATGAGTTTTGAGCCCAAGAGAAAGCATAGAGTTTTTTCTTTTTGAAATTAAGAAATTTACCTCGATCGGCGGTCGGAAGTTCCTCCGGTGCGGCGGCGGGTGGCGGCGGCCGGCTTCTGGTTCGTCTTCTCCGGCGAGTGGCAGGCGGCTAGGGTTTGTGGTCTGGTGTGGGGGTTCTATTTATAACTCCT